CATCATCATCAACATGTGAATTTCATCGTCCAAAAAGCACACCACGAGTACTTGAAACAATAGTGCTGGAGTCATGTTAGTCGACAATTCTAATAAACTCACTTTGAAGCCAACTTGTTTTAAAAATTTCTTTAGTTTAGTGATAATTGTATTGTATCGTTCTTGGGACCATCCCACCTTCAAAAACAAACGATAAAGAAATAACACAATCATACAATATTTTCACCAAACGAAATACTCTTACAGTATGGAGCTTTGGACGACCTACCGTGTCTAGTTTATTAACAGCAACTAGTAGCTGTGTAACACCTAGAGACCGTATTAAAATAGCGTGTTCTCTTGTCTGTCCACCCGCTTCAAAACCAGCTTCAAATTCTCCAGTTGATGAGGCAACAACAAGAACAGCAACGTCAGCCTAGAGTTGACGACGAAAACAGAAAAACTGAATAATTCACAGTGAAGCAAAGCAAGTTTAAAGGTTCAACCAACGCTTCTCAATGCTTTACCTGCGCAGCACCAGAAATCATATTCGGAATGAAGTCTTTGTGTCCTGGTGCATCCATTAACGTGATTATTTTAGAATCAGTTTCAATACGCGTTAACCCAACATCCATTGTTATACCACTGAAATATTTTGACAGCAAAACATCAGCATTTGTTATATTATCGACAGCCTGTGATTATTCAGGTGTAGTTACCGTTCTCTTTCTTCACCAGTCTCGTCTAATACCCATGCGTAGGCAAATGACGCCTTGCCTGCTTTCTTTGCATCTTGTTCATATCTTTGATGGAGTAAAAGAATGCTTAAAAAACATCTTTAATCTAATGACAGTTCAATTATCACTAATCATAACAATATCCACCCTTCTTTACCAACCAAACATGATCTCATCATAACATCATTCCCTATCAATATTACGTATAAAGGATATTTGTGCATCGTTTTTTTAGACACGTCTCCTAATAAGTAGAGTACATGACCCATTAAAGTACTCTTTCCCGCATCTACGTGACCTGAAATCAAATCAAAAACATACATAAATAGTAAAATTAACCAATGTTCATATTAAAAAATCTACAATACTATGTTCTTACCGATGACAACTAAATTAAGAAGTGTTTTCCCTTGTCGTACTTTTTTCTCTCTTTTAGCTACTTCTTTTTCTTTTTGACTATTTACTTTTGCAGATTTGGTTGATGAAGGACTGACAGGTGAAGGAATCCTCGTTTCCTCAACAGCCGATGTACATCTGCGGAAAACATGACGCATACAACAAAACTCGTCTAATTCAAGTATTTGACTATAAATAAGACATACGAAAAGATCAGAGATAGCTATATTAAGACCAATACCTCGCTTCGGTGGAATTTTTCGTCGATACCGTAGGAGATGGTGTGTTTACTTTTAAACTTGCATTCTCCATTCGACACTTGTCTTTTTTTGCTGAACTGTTTTGATGCCTAGAATCTGAACATACACAGTTGAAATACCTTCTTTCAAATCCCTTACTATTCTTCATCATAAAAAAAGATTTACGGAACAAGTTACATGAAATAATTCAAACATTCTAAAAATTTTTACATTCAATTTTAAGGTCGTTGTACAAAACATTAATAGAACATTATATTCAAAAAGAACGATTACCTAAAGTTAAAATTACCCTACATCAATTGCATTTAATTTACAAATTCATAAATAAAATAAAAAGTCAGCAACATTGTGAAAACGTCAAAGTGTATGAAAATATTCTACATTCAACATTAATGATAACTTAAAGTTGTCCTGTGGTCGTTCGTTTTTTCTTTGACCATGCAAGCTTCTGTTTTTCCTTTACAATATCGTCAGGTGAAGGAGTTTTGAAATCGAAGGGAATGATTTCTGATTCTTTAGTTTGAGTTATTGTATTTTCTACATTAGGTTGCCATTGATGACCTGGTTTCCTGTATTGTACAAATAACGTACAAGCAAACATGCTTGGAGTTTGAAAAAAATCGAAGATAGCTTTGTTGGAGTCGAAATCCTCAAACTCTTCTTCTTCAACATTTAAAGATCCTTCTTCATTTTCTTCCCTTTTTTCAAGATGGTTTTTGGAGGACATACGAATGGAACTCATAGAAGACTCTGGCGTCAAATTACTCTTTCTTTTGTTAAAACAAAGATCGATATTACCATCACCATTTTTACTTAGTAAATTTTCTGAAGACAATTTGGTTGCGTCTTTAAGATCACTCTTCGTTTCATTTAGCTTTAAAGATTTCAAGCCTTTTAAAGGAGGGCTAGCCATAAGAGAATGGTCGCTTTTACTGTTCATCAAACCAAGATCTTTTTTGTCGCTTTCTGTATCTTTTGGTAACAGGTTTCTTGCTTTAAGAAGTTGACTCAAACTGGAAGATCCGTCATGTGTTATATGAACTATAGGTGTTGAAGAACTATTCCTTTTGTCAGTTTCCATCAAAGACGTCAATGAAGGAGACGTTGATTTCTGACAAGAGGAATCCTTGTTTTTACTTAATAATTTACTAAGTGGTGTTATTGGCGCTACACTTGTATTTAATCTTTCCAAACCAGATTTAACCATTGATGGATGTTCATTAGCCAGTTGTTGCAGTGGAGATGTTTGAAGCTTCACATCTTTGTCATCTGCCGTTCTTTTTCCCTTCATCAACAGACTCAATGGAGATAAGCCATGTTGATTACAAGAATTTTCGGATAGATTTGTGATCTTTGAAACATTTGCTCCCTCTTTGTGTTGTTTGTTTGTGGCCATCAGCAAATTCAAAGGCGATGAGCTTTGTTTTGAGATATTTTGCGAACTGATTACGGTTGATGTACAAATTTCTGTTGACTTCTTTTCCCTCTCCAAAACATCTTGAGGTTGCTTATTTTTTGCCAAATACAAGCTCAGTGGTGACTTTTCTGATTCTTTGATATTTGTAGAGCAAATAGGATTATTGGGGGTCAAAGTCAAAGGTAGCTTGCTTGAGTTATTAATTTTAATAGATCTTACAGGAGATATTGATGCTATGTTTTTTAAGGAGTTATTGGATTTTTCATATGATGTCATATTTTTTTTCATGTTAACCAAATTAATCAATGATGAAGATACTTCATGTAAGTCTTACCTTAAGATTGCCATGACACAGACGAGAAAAACAAACATAAAAGAGAAAAGAAGGCAGAAAGTTAGAGATACAAACAAGTTTTGAAGTATTTTTTTTGAAAAAATGAAGAGTTTAGAAAATTAACTTTATGAGAATGAAAAACGTTTCAAACAAACACATCCTAGTATATCCTAGTGTATCATTGTGTATCCTAGTATATCCTAGTGTATCATTGTGTATCCTAGTGTATCCTAGTGTATCATTGTATACCCTAGGGCATCCTACCTTTATCACTTCTTGAAACAGTGGGACTTCTCAAGACTTGATTTTCTTCAAAAAATTGAAAAATCATAAATGTAATATGGAACTGCTACATTCCATCATCTCTCTTTAACCACTCACCATTGTTCAATACATCATCTATCGCTCTTTCCAAATCAAAGTTGTGTTTTATAATTGCTGATTTTGCTTCATTTTCATCACAATGGTCTCCAAGAATTGAACGAAATTCATCCAAACATGACAGGAGTTTAACTAAAAAAAAGTACATGAAACCTGCTTTCTTTAACTGATAAAATTTTGAAACCACTAAACCAGATAATAAAGTAAATGGCTTGAAAGAAATTTTGACTCTGAAGATGACCACCACTAAGGTTGTCGAAACGTCAGTCAACAACAAAAACAGTCCTTCTCAGGACTATACCAACCTGGACGATCTACATTTACAAACATGAAACCATATAATCATGTCAACAAATACCACAAACATGTAAATAGGTAAAGTATGAAAACTATAACAAGGAAACCAAAGGATATGTAGATTATTAAAACTTTGATTAGGTTATAAGACAGGTTGGTTGTAAAGGATAGGTTATAAAAACTGTGATAAGGAAGCCGAATGATAAGTTATCAAAGATTTTTGGCATAATTCATCCATACTATGTCATATTGTCGAGATTTTACCTTCATCCTCTTTGTTCAGTTTAGCTACTTCATAATCCCTCTGATCTTCTAGGTAATCTGGATTATCTCCATAATCCACATCATCATAATCCAATGATTCCTCCATAAATGATGAAAGATCAGCTTGCCTTGACTCCCCCCTGCGATACAGGAACTGTTGAGCTAATGAAAAGAAAACCAAACAAATAAACAAATGAGATGTTTGAAGGTTTGGTTGATAAAACAAAAATTATTTGAAACTCACCAGTAGTTGGAGATACACATAAATCATGTTCTTCAACTGAGTGACCGTAGACATCATCATACATCTCTAAGATGTGTAGTAAATATTTATCAAATGCTCTTACACTCTCAAGTCTGAAAAAGTTCCGTAGGTATATCTGTACAACAATTACAGCGACAAAAATACGAAATTAGGTGTATAAAAAGTACAAGACTTAAAGTTAACTATAGTATTTTTCAACTATGCTTTATGATTTTGGTTGTCATTAATTCCCTTCACAGTTCAAATTTTTCCATTATTTACAAGCAACGTTGAAAGGTCAAATGTTTTACAGCATGTTAACTTTATATTTTACCTTCTTCGTACGCATAATTTCTCACATTTCTATGTCTTGACATATTTTATACCATTACTGTCTTCCTTTCGTGATCATTGTGTAACGAAATAAAAGACAAAATGAAATATTTTCTTTCCAAAGCGCAAAAATATGTAAAAATTTCCAATCGACAGCCATTTTGTAATTCAACTTGTTTCCATCACTCAAACGTTACGACCGTTCAGTTTAGAAGGACAAAAAGTATCATCATCATCATCATGAATTACAAGTTGAATTACAAAATGGCTGTCGATTGGAAATTTTTACATGTTTTTGAAGGACAAAAAGTATATGGTCACTTTAAAAACAACAGAAGCGAACTAAACATAAACCAAATTCATTTGTATACGTGCTATTTATTTTACGCATGCAAAATACATTAAAATAGTATCATTAAGTATAAAATTCCAACAATGTTTACAATCATACGCGCAATGGTGAATCCTGAACTTTCGTTAATAAACGCGAAGGCACATTGTTGTATTGATTGATTACAATTACGTATGCATTAAATACATACATTAATTATCTAGAATTACATTACAAAATTCATGACGATTTATCGTACTATTACATTAATGTATTCATAATTATCACTACAAGTTAAATGTTCATTGTATGTTTATTGTTAAAGTATGAAAAATTAGTACTAAAACAAAAGAATTGATCTTTTGACAAAAAAATTAAGGGAATTGATTGCAGTACATGTGAGGCACAAACTTGTTCAAACCTTATTACGGCATCCCTACTCAATAAAAAAACCTCCACTTTTTTCCTTGGCTAACTTGTTTGAACATAAATTATCGGAAAATTCATTGTTTACATTAAACGTTGAATTAAATGAAGTAAAATTTTCGAAAAACAGTTTGTGTCACACACATACCACCTTTTAAAATACATCGTATTTTAAACTTTTACGTTCTGCTTAAAATACTTCGTCAAAAATTTTTTTGGCTATACGTATGTCAATGGTAGAAAGACCTACACTCTACAATATTTGATATTTATTTCTTCTACCATCTAGAGAGACCATTCATAGCACATGAGCAGCAAACACGAAACAAAATGAAAGTCTATTGACAAAAATGTCTGCCAACTAGAGTGTGTTTAAACTATGCAAATACAATTATAAAAGATGAGAAAATATCGTGAATGCTGAATACATGTACCTACATGGTAATTAAAGACCAACATATGATAATATAATTCAATAGTAAAGGAGAAATTTCGAGGGTTTTCTACCACATTGCTTACAATTGCTTCATTTTTTTCTATCTTATTTCTACACTTAATTTCTACGTGATTAAAGTATTTCGACTCATTAACGAAATCGAACAAATGATTATATATTTAAAGTGCTAAGTTAAAGTCAGTGAAATGTTGTTGCTTAATTTAGGCAGGTAATTTCTTCAAAATTCACTCGGTGAAACAATATGTATATAGAAACAACCATCTTGTTAGCTGTCTTATACTGTTCACAGATCAAATGTAGACCACACTGAAGAATAAAAAATGTGTTTAGCAGTTGTTTTATTAACGATGGTCGGCGGTCCTGGGGGGAAATTTATAACAAATTAACAAAGAGAACGAAAAAATATATTTATAAAAAAGACACTTAGTCGTGATGACAAATCTGAAAATCGTTTTAAAGATCGCAAATACTATGGTGAATTGCAAAAGTAATGTTTCAAATATATTTAGGGTATTTTGAAAGTAGAAATCAACAAAGCAATCAATTTTTACTTTCTTCATCGTCCATCAAAAAACGATGTCCAGCTATCGAGCTCCTCAACAGTAAAGAAATAAGAAAACTTACTCTTTCTTTTTTTCATCCTTTTCCTTATTGTCGCCTTTCTTCTCGTCTTTTTTCTCCACAGGTGCCAGTTTACTCATATCAATACTGGCATATTCAGTTGGTGCAGGACGTTTTTGGGTAGGATCTCTTTTAGGAGCATCTTTGGGGTCAAGGGATGAGTATAACTAAAGGAAAAACACATAAAAAATGATAAAATTGAACAATGTATTTTGTAAATATAGAGGCTTTAAAGGGTCCAAAAAACCGACGAATGAAGATTACTTTAAAACTTCATTGAAACTTCAGGTATAACTCGATCCAGGGAAAAGTTTTCCCTCACGATTCATTTTCAACATAGTAAACTGTGTTCGATTATATCCACTTGAAGGAACAAAACAACTAACCAAGCATAAAATACCTAAGCTGTCGGCATAGTTGGAGGATTTGAAACTCCAAACTTTATAACTGTCTGTATCATCATTCATCATTAAAAATTACATAAATAATTTAATCCTCGATAATCTGCATAATGCATTCAACATAGTCTTCAGTGAATAAAATACATGCACAAATCTTAATCCATATTAATGAAGAATAAATGATAAACATCCACAACAACAAACCGGATTCCCTTGTCTGTTTTCTCTATTGATAGATGCATATACAGGTGGTTTACTATCTGACGGCTTGGATTCACCAACAGGAAGATTCTTGTCTGTTCTATCATCCTTCACCGATTCATAATGACTCTCGTTGCTAACACCGGGTGCACCATCCAGTTCATAATTGTTATCTCCAACCACTGGTTTAACACTTATACCATCACTGGAACATCAACAACCATGATTATATGTATCATATAAATGATAAACTTAAAATAATAGCAAGTTTAGTAACTTAAAACCACAGTTCATAAAAAATAGCCACGAATTTACGCAAATATATACGGCGTTATTATGCCATTTTGCATCGTTTTCAAGATGTCTCAGACGGCACGCAAAGTATGGCGGTCAGAGATTGTAACCGTGCTAAAATTGTTTCGCACATGCGCATTGGCAAAATTTGCAACAGTTTTCGGTTAAAATAATCAAGCTGTGTTGAGATTGCGAGTTTTTTGTGACAGTTGAGCGTTCCTCTTTTAATCTTCTTTCACGTGAATATAACAAGAAATCAGCTGAGCTAAACTTTAATTATATTTGACTATTTTGGAGCGACCTACAAATTTTAAAGTTAATCATCCTTCCTAACAGAGGTCTATCCAGGCAAGTCGTACTTACTAAATTTTTAAAACAATTGACAAATGAAACAATTCATACAAAGAAAACTATAATAAATAATACACTTACCGGTGTCTTTTTCCTATGATAAAAATAACACAAAAACAGATGCTCAATAATTTGAAAATAAACGACAATTTTAAAATGAAACATCACCTTGAAATCGCACACAATGTCACCAACCATGAAATGTTTTTTAATGGTTAAATTTAATGGTAAACTTACTTTGCTTTGATTTACGATAGCAGAAAATGACAAGGAAAACTAGAATGGCGACAAGGAAAACCGCTCCAACAGCAATGCCAACAATCAGAGCAATATTTGGTCCATCTTCTTCTTTTTCTGTAGTTTTAGTCGTAGGGCCAACTTAAATAAAGAGTTGTGAACTTTAATAAATCTTATCTAAAAGTTTCCCAGACGACTCCAAATTTAAACATTAATTAGTCGCTTCATGTAAAGGTCTAGCAATTAGTTTGAAAAAAGAAAAAAGCAAAAAGCAAGAATGAAACTATTGCGATCTGCAAAAAAAATAAAATTCACAACACATACTAAAGTTAGTATCAGGTCATACGTAGGAACTAATTGATAAATTATCAAAAAAAATTAAAAAACAAAGGTTGAGGCACGCTCTCCAAAAATGACAGTTCCACATTAAAGAATTAAAGAAAAAACGTTAAAAAAAGTTACCGTTATTAGTGGAAGTGGAACTAATTGATGACGTAAAGGTAAACGTCATCGATGACGTAATTATCGACGGCGATAGACTGAATGAGCTTGATATAGGAGCTAGCACAATTACAAAAATTGTTCAAATGAGAATGATTCCAATATTGAAATTCCTTTTTTCTTGAATTTATAGTGTTTAAACTATGCAAATACAATTATAAAGGATGAGAAAATATCGTGAATGCTGAACACATGTACCTACATGATAATTAAAGACCAACATATGATAATAATTCATTAGTAAAGGAGAAATTTCGAGAGTTTTCCACCACATTGCTTACAATTGCTTCATTTTTTTCTATCTAGTTTCTACACTTAATTTCTAAGTGATTAAAGTGCTTTGAGTCATTTACGAAATCTAACTAAATGATTATATATTTAAAGTGCTGAGTTAAAGTCGGTTAAATGTTGTTGCTTAATTTAGGCAGGTAAGTTCCACATTAAAGAATTAAAGAAAAAACGTTAAAAAAAGTTACCGTTAGTAGTGGAAGTGGAACTAATTGATGACGTAAAGGTAAACGTCATCGATGACGTAATTATCGAAGGCGATAGACTGAATGAGCTTGATACAGGAGCTAGCACAATTACAAAAATTTTTCAAATGAGAATGATTCTGATATTGAAATTCCTTTTTTCTTGAATTTATAGTGTTTTAAAGTGCGTGCCACCAGATGCATAAAAATTTGATAATTTGAAATTCCTGTCGTTTATAAATAAACGTTAAGTAATCAAATGAATGAACTTTAGCCAATTTACGTTTAAAACAACTTTAATGACTTTATTGGGGAATACAGATAAGCGGAAAGTTATTTTACTTATGGTCATTGAAGAATATAAATATAGAAAGAAATATTATTGTTAATATATCAGACCTTCCCAGACTTTGCTTTACAACACACAAACAACAGTAGATTTACGCTGAACAACTACTAATGGCAAGCCGTCATACGAAAAATGAAAACAAGCCAAGAAAATTTGTATAATCACAGCAATCTTCTTTGTTCACTGAAATTTTAGACTATAGCCATAAGTATAGACAAGCACGTTCAAGAAATCTATTGCTAATTATAAGTGCAGCTACGTAATATTTCAAGATGATTATTGCTGTGTCGATTTTTTCTACCAAGATAGTTCATACAAAATGCAAGATAAAAGTACAACAAGTGATAAACAGAGTTTCTCAATTTTACCTTCGTTAACAACAGTGAGATTTTTAACATCAGACAAATCATTTCCCAGTTTATTCTTTGCTTCACAGCGATATAAACCAGCATTACTGAAGTTGACAGAATGAATGATGTATGTCTTATTATTGCTGAGAACAGCACCATTATGAAAAATAATGAAAGTTGGCGGAGGAAAACCATCTGATTCACAGGTTATATTCGCACTTTCACCAATTTGTGGATTTATTTTTGATAGGGTTATGGTCGTATTTCTTGGTTGATCTAAAATTAAAAATTCAAAATTCTACGTATTTCACAATTTCAAAATCTTATTGCAAAAGTACTAAATATATAAGTTCGCAACTTACAATTCACTATTATTTCAATGGATTTTTCGTCAATGAAACGTGGATCATTAAAACTTTCAGCTTTACATCTGTAACTTCCACGATCATTTGGTGAGGCACCAGTGATTACTAAAATCGCACTTTCAACTCCAACATCACCAGATGTGTTGTTATCTTTATCAAACCATGTGACATTAGCAGGAGGGATACCTCCTTCACCTTTACATACACATGACACACTATCACTTTCATTCACAAACAGAAGAGATGAACAGTTAATCGACACTGTTGGTTTGACTGAAATTAAAGACAGAATCATAATAATAGTCATGATAGAAACAATAGGGTATTTATTTGTAAGCGTCAGTGAGGCAGGGGTAAAAACCGGAAGAGGAATGTTGGATCTGTAAAGAATAAAATTTATTGTTGTATGTGCTGTGTATGTCAAATTTGATTGGTTCATTCGTAGTCACATGACTTAAAATAAACGCATGTTTCCCGTCAAGGAAACAAGTGAAAAATTGTTGCGTGCTGATTTTAATATCATAAAAAATAAAACAGCTATGGAGCCGAAAACTAAAAATACAAGTCTCGAGTTTGTTAAGCAACCCTTAGAAGTGCTGCAAAAATGCTGTGGTCGCCCTTATAGCATTTTGAAACGAAATCTCGACGGACAAATCTCCACCAAAAGAGACGTTAATTTCATTTAAAAGCTGTGAAAATCTATGAATTTTGTTCCTATATATAACAAAACACTTAATGTATGCTTCCGTGAGAAATACTGAGCTTTGTTTTCCCTCGAATCGCATGCAATGTATTGAGACTCTTGGAAAACTAAACTCACTATTCCCTTGGTAGCATACAATAAATGTATAATATTCCAAAGTTATATTTTACCACACGTCAATAATAACAAAGTTGAAGACGAATAAGATGATAAAATATATATCTGCAAAACTTACATTTTACTTGTATTTCAATGGATTTTTCGTCAATGAAACGTGAATCATTAAAACTTTCAGCTTTACATCTGTAATTTCCACCATCATTCACTGTAACATTAGTGATTACTAATGTCTTACTTACAACTCCAACATCACCAGTTATGTTGTTATCTTTATCAAACCATGTGACATTAGCAGGAGGGTTACCTCCTTCACCTTTACATACACATGACACATTATCACCTTTACTCACAACCAGAGGAGTTGAACAATTAATCCCCACTGTAGGTTTTTCTGAAAACAAAAGCAAATGCTGAAACAATCTTCTCCTTAACATAATGAAAAAATAAAGTCTAAGGAATTTTTCTGAAATTGCAAGGCTTTAATAAACTTCCAACTAATAGCTGAAAATAGCAAATATTTCTATAATAATTTTTGTTGCAATTAATGCAACAAAAAAAAATTTTATTCAATTCATTCCATTAGCTATATCGTGAAATTTACAAGATAAATACGTGTCTTTGTTTACATATTATTTTTCAAATTTTTTAACTTCACAAAATAGTGAGTCATCAAATACAGTCAATTTAACAGACAAGTGAATACTTGTTCAACTTGGTCTTATGGTTTATTTGGAATAATGGAAAGGTAAATTATCACTGCATTACATATATTATTGCCTTTAAAATAAAGACAAATCGGTTTTTGAAGCACAAAAACATTTGGCCAGCTGGCTATGACAAAAATCTTTCTAAGAGACTTTCTCGCAATTCATTGAATAAAAGTTCGTAATAGCCTTGAACCTTCTTCGTAACACCTACTAAAAATAACGGGTTTTACTTGACTTTGGATTGAGTAGATCGTTGAATGTTCAAAATTGGCTATCGTAAAATCGAGAACGGACGAAATTTGCATAGTTCTCTTGTTTATATAGCACCAGAAATCCTTGGTCGATTAACAAATGCATGTCTGGATAGCTTGAAAAAAGCGGATATTGAGTCCCTAGGTACTATAGCATTTGGAATGATAAATCCAAAAGTAAGCTATCCTTGCTGTAAAGAATTCAAATACTCGGTGGCTTTCTTCGGACATTAAACCTTTTAAAGTCACTTGTCTTCGAGAGAGACTACAATCAAAGCACTGCATATGAAGGAGCTGACCTTGATTTTGTCGTAAGTGATGCCAAGGACATTAACCTCAAAGCCAAATCATCACAAGCAACATGTAGGACACAAAAATGACGATAAATACTAAAGCTTGCAACTTCTAAGCTATCCGTATTGGAGATGCGTTTATGTAAGAAGCCATCAAAGGAAAAATATTAGGTGGAAAAATCTTTTGCGAATGGCAGAAAAGATCATCACTATTCTCCCATTAAAAACAAACGATCAACGAGATCATTTGAAACTATACGACTCTTCTGAAGTTAATTTTACAGCAAAACAAATTGATCAAGTCCTCTAACCGTTTGACAGAGGAGTGCATATCAGACAATGGTGCGTTGCCAAAGGTAGGTAGGTATGAACTTTTTGATGCTTTAATATGTAAGCAAGTAAACAATGAGAAATCAGAAGTTTGATTATATATCCGCTGTCCATACACACTTTTAGTAGGAATACGTCACAACTCATTGATCGATACACATCCTGTAGAGGAAGATCTTGGTGAAGATGATAATGGCATCCGCGTGGCCACAAAAGACCTGCCATTGCATTCTTGTATGTTTTTAGTCGATAGCATTTTGAAACGTCTGAAATCAAGTGGATTGAAAGAGCAAGAAATAAGAAGTCCAGCGTCTTTAATATCGAACCCATTTACAAATCTTTGAGACTGGTAAGTGACCTTTACCATCTACACTATAAGAGTTGTCTCAAGATTCACAAAAACCATCACTATGCTTCTGACCGTGTACTTGGTATGGTGAATAGAAAATTGCCATTTATTGAAATAAACAAAGGTTCAGACAGTGGAAGTATCAACAGTGATGAAAGAACTTCATTGGCTGATTTCACTTACTGGGTCACACGAAGGTTTGCGTGCACAGTTGAATAAGGACAATCAGTAAAACGATGAGCGGAACATGTATAAATAATTGGCATAACAAAAACATTTTAACATAGGAATAGTGGAGAACTTCATGATAGCAAAAAATGCTTTCGGTTCTCGATTGGAACCCAAAAGACAAGACACCAAAAGAAATACTGAAGATATTATTGAAGTCAACTGACTATTGAACAACATGCAAGATCATACCAAATTGTTTCTCATAACGTGGGCTTCCTATTGGATACTGTCGACTTACAGTCAGAAAATGACTAGGCAGGCCGAGACTTGGGCTCAAGAAAAAAAAGAATGGTGTTCAACATTATTTGTGTATCTTTAAGGGACACCAAGGTTTTTCGGCTGATGACGTGGATGAAGGCTTCAAAGAATTGTACACAATAAAGTGAACATACTACAAAACACGTCCTTGTCGAGTCTTGTCCATTCGCTTTGCATTTCTTGAGAATGTTTTTGACTGTCTTCCAGCACGCAATTGTTACATGAAAAAACTATTGAAGTTATGGATGGTTTTCACTTGATAACCACTTTGAAGAATGATGTAGTCAACATGAGAAAGAGCATTGATTATTATCAATGATTTTTAACAACGCGATTGCGCTCACTTTGTAACCCTGCAAAAATTGACAATTAAGGTATTCCAAAATGCTTGAAATCGCATTTCTAGCACCTTATGTTTCAAACTTTCCCAAGGGAGGATGTCCGGCGTCCACTGTTTTATGGCTGACGTTTGAAAAATTCTAGAACCGCCTCTGGTAGCTAATATACACTTTAACCCATGATTTCGTAATCAACCAATAAAATGAGCCATACGACGCATGCACATGGTTTGAATTTCTTAGTCCCCTAACGTTGCAATCACTGGTCTAATTATTTTTCTACGTTTCTAACTAAATAGATGTATTTCATTTTTTATAACTAAATAGATGTATTTCATTATTTTTCTACGTTTCTAACTGAATACATGTATTGATTTCATTAATTTTCAAATGAAAAATATAAATTTCTAAAACTGATAAAAATATAAAATAATAAAAAAAGGACGACTTACTTGCAACGAAAACTCTGACTTTAGATATAAAAGATGACGCACCGCCCCTTCTTGTTAATTCAAACTCATATGTTCCATCATAACTGTAAGTGATATTTCTTAATCGCAGCGTTGAAGGTTTGTAGACGTCATACTTTGGAAGAATTGGTTCTTTAAGATTTATCACTGACAAATCCAGAATGACAGTGGCCAACAGTGTTTTTGGTGAACCATTACTACTACCCTTAAAACGCCAATTTCTACTGGCCACAGCATTTAAACTAACATTAAATATCCAGGTTATATTTTCTATTTCTCCAGGTAGAAATGTAAAATTTGTGCCAGAAGGAGGTGATAGAATATTTCCTATGATAAGAAATGAAAGATAAATGAATAAAAATAGGTACAAAGTGCGTACATATGGTTTTGAAATAATTTAAATGTTTATTCAACGTACATAAAAATATACGAGAATTTATAAGAAATTTTACGAAAACATCTTTAGTGAAGTCCCAAAGTTATTTCATTTCGTAATAACGAAAATAAGCAACATCCTCAAGAAATCTCTCCAATTTTAACGATAAATTCATTACTATTTTAAATGCAAACCCTTTTTGAGATAATTACTATTTTTAACAATTGTCTTTCCAACGTTTACTGAAAAATCAGATAGCATTGAAAATTATACAACTGTATTAAGCCTGTGTAGTTTTGTTTTTACTCTTGTCTTCATAACATTTTGATAGGACTTAATTCCCCACGATTTGTTCCGATTGCGATTAATTTTAAACTTACGTTTAATCTTTGAACGCAGAAGGATCGCAAATAGGATGAGATAGCAAATATTTCATATTTGATAACAGAAATGTCAAATAATTAGACTTTAGTTATCATAAAAATTTATTAAGTGTAAAGTGCCACAAGATTCTGCGTATTTTAGGGCCATTACGTTTTGTGCTGAACATCAACAATTGGCCTTACTGTCTAACAAAAATAAAACCTCCATTGTTTGCTGGTGACTGAATAACTTATCTAAAAGACTGCTTTAAATTCTAGTTAGAAAACCTTTAGAAAACTTGGGGTTCCACTCGATCAAAAATTATCTAGGAAATGTAACACTGATAATATTTGCAAAAAAGTCACATAAAAGATTTCTTTTGAAGGCTTATGTTAATACGCTTATCCGTACACAATGCAAAAGTTCGTCAATGATTAACAACATAAATAATTAGAGAAACTCTCTGAAGCTTTCAAATTATGTAAATACTTCATTGTAAAACAAAACTAACAATGCAAAGGATAATGCAAATTGCAAAGAAGCTTCAACCTATTTTTGCCTTCTGGAGAGGAGTTTGTTCAACTCCAGCAAAACTCTGTCAGAAGTTGTTTATGATGCAAAATACTGTCAGACTTTGGTAAAAATATTGAATCAAAACATTTTTGTATCAAAGAATGATAACTATCTGCTAAAATTGAAGAACTTGCATGAAAATAAAACATTTTATACATGACACAACATGACGCTAGATTTCCTTCACACATGCTAATTTCTGACTGAAAGTCGGTGTGCGGAAGTTTAACTTTACCTATAAAAATTTTACTAATAATACACCTTAAACTGTTGAAAGCTACAACTAGTGATTTGAGTTATAAAATAGCAGGAGCAAGAGTTTGAAACCGGAGTTCAGAATTGACAAGAGGCCGGAGCCGGAGCTGAAAAACTGGGGTTTCCAAAGCACTAAGAAGAGACTAAAAACAACACACAGCACATATTTGAAGGTTATTAATATACAAAACTTATATGTTTGTAAATGATGATCGTCCAGGTTAATAAAGTCCCTAGAAGGACTGTTTTTGTTGTTGTTGACTGACGTTTCGACAACCTTAGCGGTAGTCATCTTCAGAGTCAAATGAGGAGTAAACGTCAGGTTAGCCGTATTTGTTATCTGGTTCTTACATCATTGTATTGTGTATACAGGAAATGTGTATTGTCATTGTGAATTAGTGTGAAGTGAAATATTTTATTTTTAGTTGTGATGTGTGATTTAGGTGTGATGTTTTTAGTTGAAATGTGTAGGTATCAATTGTGTATTGTCATTGTGAATTAGTGTGAAGTGTAATGTTTTTAGTTGATCGTTTGTTTGTATTGTGAATAAGTTGTTTGTAAGGTGCCGGTAATTGCTGTGATCTGTTCAGGGGAGTTACTCATCATTTACAAACATATAACGATACTCCCAGGTTCAAACCATTTACTTTAATACAAAACTTACAAGCCCAAGTATTATTTTTAAGAATTCTTACCATCGCAAGGAAGAAAGAATGCCATACACCAAAGGTAAATTGATATCATAAAGGGGACATTGATGCTCATTGTTAACAACATCAATATCTATGAAAGAAAAAAAGAGGCCAGTAAATATGGAAAGAGTTGCAATTTTACTTGTTAATATGCACGAAAATGTTTGCACAACAATTGAAAATAATAAGATCACACAAAGCCCAATGTTGAAGGCAAAAACAAAAGAGGCAAAATACAGGCCGAATTAGTGAAATATGAACACATCAATGGTGATAATTCTGAGCAAGACTGGAAAGTTTGCATTGCACACCCAAGATCATAAATTTTGAAAAAAGACAAAATTTGATCAAAAATAAAGTGCAAAATTTGCATTTCAGACCAGCAAAAACCAGTAAAAAGTTAGGCATGCAATATTTTCTGTAAAATTTTAGCTCAGGTCTGCAGTTAACAAACTTCCCAGCCTGGTTCCAGAGTAGGATTCTGTAAGATCTTTTAACACACCGTAGAATCCTGTATATGATAAATTTCAATGCTTTACATGATCCTGAATTTGACTTGTGTTTTGAATTATTTCTATAAATAGCTTTATCTCATCAGCAAGTAAACTAAAAAACATTATTTCTAGGTTCTCAGACAATATAAAAGTTTTTTGTTTTTTATAACAAAGTAAACATAGGCAGGGAAACATTGCATTTGTTTTAAGTCACGTGCCTCTAAATGAACCAATCACATTACCCATACAGAATACCAATATAGCAATAATAAATATCGGCTTATTACTTAAACTTTTATAACTTCATGGGCGTAGGATTATAGCTTCGTAGAGATTTCGTGTCGAAAACCTTACTCAATGCTATTATTCTCGGGGCTATGATGTTATCTATTTGGCAAAACTCCTCACCCAAACTCTAAAAATGACAATCACTAATTAACGATATGTGATTACATGTCAACTACTTCCATTGGTTATTTATGTAATAATAAAAAGCTACGAGTCTCATCATATTTTTTCATTTTCAAGTAAACATTAATATTAAACTATACTCTTATTAAAACTGCTGCCTCATGTTCAACGTTAAAGATCCTGAAGCAGCCAATTACAAAGTTCCGTGAAAATTACACAGCAAATTTAAAGCGTATAAAACGAAATTTTCATCAGTAATATACAACTTAACACTTCACATCCAAAAATGAAATGATTTTTAACTCACCAAAACGTCTAGCTTTTGCTTTAGCATTAAACGGTTGAAGTTATTCAACTTCCTGGTTTAAAAATTCTTGTATTAGTCGTCTTTGCGTCGTCAAGTCACTCAGTTGTGAGTTAGCCACAGTTAGGTGTGTTTATGTACATTAATGTATATTAAGAGTCGGGGTGGGGTGGCATGTCGGCGGAAGTAGACCTGTAGACCTTGACAAAAGAAGAAATTTTGATTGGTTAATAAAAGAAGGATAAATAAAACAATTGAATAAAATTGTGAATAAAACATTTTGATGAAAATATATGAAAGTTAATTAAGTTATGATATACAGAAATGAAAAATTCATACAGGTAATGTACAAATAGTTATTTGAATTTCCTATATGAAAACAATCGAAAGATTTAATTTCATTGCGTCCCACCAAACTCACTGCTAACAACTCGATTTTTAACTTGTTAAAGCAGGAGGGAAGAAAACAAGAAAAACAAAAACCAGGAACGATAAAAGAGAGACTCTTTATAACTTGAAAAAATTACGTTCTATGTGATATGACTGTAACCTTTGCCTTCGTTGTAAAAGTAAGTTTAAAAAATATTATGGATGGTACGTACTTGTAGCTATAGCCCGCCATAAATAAATGAATATTGTCGATTTCAGTTAACTTTTCAAATGGCGGTTGCCAAGTTACTTTCTAATGTTGCCAACTACATTTCCAAATATGGAATATTCGATGTGAACTTATCAACTTGAGTTGACAAGTTGTGTACTTGAGTACTGAAATTGTGAACTTGAGTACTGAAGTTGGGAACTTTAGTACTGAAGTTGTGAACTAAAGTTGCGAAGTACTGGCAAACGCGAAAGGTCTTTGTACCCTTTTGACATTTGGCAATGAACCGTTCAGTAAGGAAGGAAAAGCTTTAGCAATTCTAATCCGTTTGATGGCCCTCTTAGAGGATCGTGACCATTGAGTTCTATAATAACTGGAGGGGAAACGTCAACAAAATTAGTATAAATTATTAGCGCGCAGCCGCGTGGTCAAAAACATGGCGGATTTTGGTGGTCAAAGTCAGCGGAGAGACGCGGGCTCATGAAATAAAATTTTTGTCGCCCACCCTGATTTGACCACCACAATTGCGAGTATAGAAAATATCAAAACTTTTTATTTTCCTAACATAAACACTTTTTTAAAATTTATTTATTAAATTGCCAACTTCTGTGGTTTGCGGACGCTGAAATAGCGACAGAAAAGGAAACATTTCATGACTCCGGTAAGTAGCACAGTATTAGTTTTACTATTTTGTTTTTAACACGATACTTGAAGAGTGTTTCTACTACTAAGTTTTAATTTAAAGCTATTTTGGTCCAGTCTTGTTTGTTCTTCACTTAATCGCTCGCCAGACGGTTCGAAGCTGTCAATTTTTATCGAGTTTTGCATCCATCTTGTATCATGATCAAGGCATCAAGCTAAACTCTCCTGATTTGAATTGAGTTTACCTCCCAAAAATGGGGCATAATTTGTTCATGTTTTTTTTTGAAAAGATGAAGGGAAAGTTTACAACAGAGTTGTGTTGAAATTGAATGCAGTGCCATGCAAAATTAATGAGAACTATGGTATATGTTGTATAATAAAAATAACTATTAAACTGTTTGCCTGCTCAATTTGACTGACTGTATGGTGTAGACAATTATAATGAGATTGGAAAGTTGGATTTATGCTAACAATTTTAAAGTACTACTTAGCGTTTCTGTAAATGAAGTATTTATTGTTATAGTAAACAGGTTAATACTTCAAAACCAAGATGAAAGTAGTGTGTTGAACAATGTGCTAAGATTTGTTTCTACCTTGAAATTTTTGTTCAACAGTAGCTTATGATTATATCATTAATATGCATGAAAAATTAAACATATTGTCTCATCTCATTAAATCCATAATTGGTATGATTCCAGGTGATCCACAAATTCACATCGGATGCATTGGTTACAATGAAGTTGAATGTAGAGGAAGCAAAAATAGATGGCAAAGAAATTCTTTGTGTCTTATGAAGAATTAGTAGAAATAAATGAAAAGAATTCTTTAAACAAATTGTAAACAAATTTAAATTTGCTCATGATCAAGCAACCTAGTCAAAGAAGCAAAGTCTGTCTTCAACATGTGACCTTTCCAATTATTTGGTTTCTTTGTACAAAATACTATTTTCGAGAAACTTGATTTGTAAGTCTTTCATTAATATTTTTTTACCAAGAGATAAAAGGAACTAATTCAAAGGCTTGATGTAAAATACAAAGATTTAACAAGTTGTTTATCATTTAATTCCCAAATGTTAGTTTGTACATATAAATAATTAGTATTGGTAGCTGTAAGTTGTTTAAGCAAAACAGAAGAGTAGTAGTGCGCGAAGGGGTTAGCATTTTTGAAAAATTATATCTTGTTCTTGACATATATTACACAATTCCAAAAAACTGTAAGTAATGCACAATAATATCTATAGAACTTGATAAATTTCTTCACCTACACTGTCAAATAACTATTTTGCCTTCATGCAGCAATAGACAGTGTTTTTGTCAGAGAAACCAATGCACTTTAGTTTCCAAGTTTGTAATTTCAATGGAAAATTAATGTAGTTTTGTTCAGTAATAGATCCAAGATTATGCCAAGCTGTTTACAAAATACAAATTACCAAGCAACAGTGTCATGGTGTTTTGAATTTTTTTCTTTTTTGTAGCTCTTCTAGTTCAACATACTTTCTTTATGAGTTTTCAGTAGATTTATCAGGTAATGACAATACACTTATGATACTTATCCATGGTAAATTTTTAGTTGACTTATGCCGTAGGACTGAGGCAAACATTTTCTCGCTTCCTTAGGAGCATTTTAACACAGATTCATCCATTTGAAGCAAGAAAAATAGGTGCACCAAACTTTTTACAAGCAGTCAAACACACAAAAGCATGAAATAATGTATAAGTTTGACGAGATTGACAGGTCTAGTAAAGAATGCCGTTTGATTTTCACTTTTAAAAGGCTAAAATGTCATAAAATAACTTAAATGTTACAGACAAAACATGCGTTTCTCTACCGTCGATTTTCTTTACTTTGATGTGTGTGTGTACTGTGTTTTTCACGCAATGCTGAAGCATTATTTTCACATGATATGCTGTCGGTATCGTAATTGTGCTTTTTTCTCACTTGTTTTCGTTCATACAGTATTAGAAATCAGGAGGGAGTGAATATTGAAAAAAATTTTTAAAGTGGAAGTTTTGACCACCAAAATCCGCCATTACCGCCATGTTTTTGACCACGGGGTCCAGGCCCCTTTTCCCCTCCAGGTCTTATAGAGCTCAATGGTCACGATCCTCTTAGAGTGTTATAATGCGATACGCCGTTCACATTATGTAAAAATTTACAGTAAATGTGGCACTAGAAGCGTATCGTTGGATTTTAAATGCAGAAGTACCCTGCATACTGTGCCCTCGACGTCTGTTGCCACTCGTAACAACTACAGACGACTCATCAAAGAAATGCATACGGTTGCAATCAATCAATGAAATATTTGCTACGTAAGCTTCTAACTTCTCCATAACGTCCGGCCGTTCTGTCTTTCGAGGAATTTGACTTATTATCTTGTAAGAGTAAGGGGGTGTTTACATGAATCCGGAATGACTTTCAATCCCGATCGAAACGTGATGTCAATCCGTGTTTACATGAAACTAATTGTTTTTTTTCTTCGCACTCATTTTAACCCATTTAGCCTCTTTATTTGCTTACGAGCTTCGATTTGCCAGAAGACAATACCCATGCCACATGCGTGCTTCGTCATTAATCACAATATCATTCCAGTTCGAAACTCAATTCGCGTTTACATGAGATAACAAGTAAATTTCGATCCGGAATGAAACTAGGAATGAACTCGATCCGGATCGAGTTGTGACTCATTCCGGATTCATGTAAACATGCAATAGGATTTCTTTTAAAGTGGAATGAGTTCATTCCGGATCGAAACTCATTCTGGATTCATGTAAACACCCCCTAACCAAGATCATTATTCAAAATTCTACTAATGGATGACCTGCTAGGTATGTTTGCTGGAAGGCAAACTTTGATATTTTCTAGGTGTTGCTGAATTTCTTTTGCGTAAATAGATGGTTTATTAATTTTTAGATATTCAGCGTATGTAATAACGTCATCTGTACGCGTGGTTCGAACATCACGTTCGCTCTGGCGAGGTGCAATAGAACCAGTGTCTACCCATAGATCTATTATATTTGATATAGTCTTATACGGTAGATTTAGTTGTTTCAAAATGTTTGTCAAACGCTGGTTATTTAACCACCTTTCAAGTATTTCATTTCTTACTTCTATTGGTAAAGCTTTTCCTTGCTTACTGAACGGATTCATTGCCAAATGTCTACAGGGTACCAAGACCTTTCGCGTTTGCTAGTACTTCGCAACTTTTGTTCACAACTTCAGTACTAAAGTTCCCAACTTCAGTACTCAAGTACACAACTTGTCAACTCAAGTTCATATCGAATACTCCATATTTGGAAATGTAGCTGGCAACATTAGAAAGTAACTTGGCAACCGCCATTTGAAAAGTTAACTGAAATCGACAATAATAAGCGTTACTTTTTTTAAATTTGCACCTCCTCTACAACTATAAAATAGACTACGTCAAATTCAAACCCAATATGTTTCCGATTTGCTACTGAAGTTTTAATGTAATTTGGGCTCAAAACTGTTAAATTTATGGGATTCCGGCCGTAACACTTGTCCATACCATCTCAAGAGATAAGTTGAGTTTAACCTAGGTGAATCTTGGATAGGTTGTGTTTACACGCAAAAAAATAAATCTGGGTTAATTTTAACCAGGTTTAAACCCAGGATAGTTTATGTCGTGTGAACATGGCTTTAGTGGGTTGCACGTAACGTCATGGCCGCCAAGTTGGTTAATTTCAACGAAGGTTTTTCTCGTTTACAATTAAAATTTCCTCCAAGATGGCGAACATCTCTTTTTCCGTAAACTTTCAAAGTCCTTGGGAAATGGTTGTTTATTGCAACCACTAATAAAGACAAAAATCAAAAACAGTTTCAAATTTTATAGCAGTGATAATTGGTTTTTTTTTAATTTTGAGGTGCACTTTGTAGTTGATGGGTTGCAATAGAGTCCTTAAGTGTGACGTCACGTTGCCATGGCGCTAAAAAATGCAGTTCTAAACAATACATCTTATGCGAGCGCTTTGGACACGCTTCCTTTGTTTTGAATGTTTAAAGCTTTAATTATCCAGTGTAATCCCACAAAAGACAATAAAAAAAAAACAGGAAAGGTTTAAGGGTCTTCCAAGGGATCAACTTTCGTTGAAGAAGTGTAAAGGACGCGGGTCAAACGGGCAAAATGGTTTTGCTCCTAGATGTGGCCATTCGTCGGAGGGCAACACTTGCAAGTTCTTCGCTTTTCCAAGCGCTACAAAGCAGAACGACGAGTACAAGAGATGGATTAGACTCATAAGGTATGAACTGATATTCAAAAAGAATTCCTTAATCGGTGAGAATTGGATGAATTACGTGATTTTAAGTGAGATTTACGGACTCTATTCAGGTGAAGAGTTGACATCAGGACATGAGGGAGAATCATCGAATACTGAATTATAGAAGCTTTCAGCTAGTTATCTTTTTAACGGTTGCTTTGTATTTTCCGTAGCCAAAACCTTAAATATCAGTGCTTTGGAAGGTATAATCCATCAATTTTGAGGATCAAATTTTTATCACTTTAATGAAAGTACGACAGAACGACACACAGCTTCACCAAGCCCAATTGTTTCATTGTAGTGTGGCTACAATTTCTAACATTGTTATAAAATTCACTCATGTTTTGCATGAAATTTTGTTTGATGACCTAATGACATCTATTCCATCCCGGGAAAAAGACAAGATCTCAGCACCCTCCTCTTTTAGGCAATTTGAATCCTGTCAGATTGTTATAGACTGCACAGATATTGAGGTTGCTGCACCGGGATTGATGAGTCAGCAAAATGCAACCTATTTATCATACAGAGGAATGAATTCCTTTAAGGTAATAGTTCGTGTTGCACCAAATGGAGTCATTACTAATGTCAGTCGGCTGTATCCAGGTTCTATTTCAGACAAGGCCATTGTGCAACAGTCTGGACTCCTTAATCACTTGACAGCTGGAGATATGATTCTGGCGGACAAGGGTTTCCCTATCCAGGATGTTGTACCACATGGTGTCTGTGTCAATATTCCACCTTTTCTGAATAATGGAACTTTTACAGAGAGTGAGGTCAAGAAAACAAAAGCCATAGCTAAAGCATGGAGTCATGTTGAAAAAGCCAATGCTAGGCTGAAAGACTTCAAAATTTTAGGCTGCATTCCTTCGTATTTGTGCTGCTATGCTGACATTTTGTTTCAGTTATGTGCAGCACTTGTAAATTTGCAATTTCCTCTCATCAAAGAGGGATGTGAAGATATGGCTTTTGAGTAGTTTTATGCTTGAAGACTACATTGGACAGTTTTTTAATAATTATTATTGTTCAAATAGAAATAAAATAAGTTGTATACTGAGGCTTACTTAGAAGAAAATACAGCTAGATGGGTGGGGAGAGCATTCTAATATAACAGTAAAGGGATGATTTTACCTCTTAGGGATTACAATATTTATCATCTGGTACAGCCTGGGTGTACATAGGGTGTCAAATTAGATCACTGAGAGAATTCTTTTATCATGTTTAGGAGAACAGAAGTTAAAAAAAAGTTTTGACATATGTTTTACAATGGATGCCTTTTTGGGGATAAAAATAAAAGCAAGTACTGCCCACAGTTACCCTTAAGGAGTCTTTCTGAACATTTCCCATGAGCATCCCATCACTTTTATATGGGAATTTCCCTTCCACCCAGGAAAACAACATTAAATGATGTACCATTTTCCATGTCTTTTAAATACCATGTTATCCTTGTGTTTATTAATAAAAATGCAAATATATGTATAGCCTGTTACCACAACTCCCTCACACCAAACTAGTTGTGGTAGGTCAATTTGAGGACTGAAAACCGACGAGTATCATTATTTTTTAAAACAAATCGTTCATTAACAAGCCTTTTTTATTTCACTAATAGAGAAAATCACGCCCTCGTGTTCATTTGGGCAACAAAAACAGTCTTAAACTTAATCTTGACATTTGGCATTCACCGTCACTTTATAAACCTTTTGTTTCATTCTTGCGTGTACTTCTCATCGTAAAACACTCTGCTGGTAAGTTAATGCTTCAATGTGATCTAACTTAAAGTGGTTTTCCCCCTTTTTTATAAATTTCTTTTCTTCTGAGAAGAAAGAAAAAAGCGAAGCGATGGATAATGTCTCCATTTTGAATCGCATGGGCGCTTGTTTAGAACCATTGAACTAAATATAACTGGAAGGCTACCTTCTGATATATCGGTAACACACGAAATGAAGCCAAAATTTTGCGTGATCTGACCTCCAGACACGCGTTTCTGGTAGTCAAATCACGCGAGTTCGGCCTCGCGATGCGTGATTGGAAGGAGTGAGTAAAGAGTCTGAACGAATAAACTACATGTTTTGGCCAAGCTTTAGAAAGGAAAATTACTGAATTTATTTAGTTTTGCTGCGTTTTCTTTTGATATTAATACAGGAAATTTAAGTTTCTTGCCGACCAAATAATTTTTTACCCAGAAGGCTTACCGATGGCAAAGGATTGTGCTCGGATATTGGCGAAAACTTTCAAATGTAAAAATCCCAATGGGTAAGTGTTTATTCATTGTATTCATAAAGTGTTTACACATTAAATTTATTCATTGTTAAACAAGATTAGCTTATTGAGTCGGTGCCTGTCGCTTGTTTTGCCTTTATTTACGATCTCCCTCGTATATTTTTTACCGTAGTTGAAAAGACGCAGTGTGAAATATTTGTCTGCGATATGCTTTGTCAGTTGAGTGCTGTGATCGTCTTCGATAACAGCCTCGTTAACACCATCTTCGTGATCTCTGAATAGAGGAAAGGTCGATTCCAGATTAAAATGTTGGCAAACTGCAATAATCATACTGTTCTTCAACTTTGCCCTGTTACTAATATGCTGATTGTCGTTGCCTGTCACCGTTGCTTTGAAAACGTGTTCGCAGAACTCTATACAACGATACACCGCTGTGGATGGAATCTGTAAACCACCGTTGTTCACGAAGTTGACGAAAGCTGACGCTTTTCCAGCTTCATGATATTTTGTGGCAGTATAATCATGGTCATCTACGGATAACGATTTTGGTAAAGGACAAAGGCATCGTTTGCATTCTGGGCAAGATAAATTGTTGACTAACTTCGAAACTATGTATCCTGCAATATAAAATATAACGTTCGAAATAAATTCGCTGTTGCCTTCTTGGAGATGTTGCACCATTGCATTAATTTTATTGTCAGTGTCTTGGGCAGCAGTTTCTTGTGACTGATTATGTAATGTGGGTGAATGTTTTCTTGTACGAAAAGTGGTATCAGGTTGTTGCAGCCAGTAAAGTCCAAACAGTTTGCATTTTTGATGCAGTAATGGCATTTCTCATCAACATTTTCAAGGGCATACTTCATTTGGAGACTGTTGGGGTTGTTGTTCCATCCACCTCTTGAGCGAATGCAGGAAAACAGGAGTTCAATATGGTCCTGTGAATATTTGTAGGTTAAGAGATACTTGAATGGATTGATGGATGAAGAGAGCATCTGTGTTGCCATTGAAATAGTGGATTTGATGCAGGTAACAAACCCAATTACAAATGTTTTGCTGAGATGTACAAATTGGTTGAGAGGAAGCTGTGTTGGTTTTAATGATAGTAAATATTCTGCTGATGATGATAACACTTCTTGCCATGTTTCCTGACTTGAAAGCCGAAGGTGCCTTAAAACCCTTACCCAGTGGATTCCGGGAATTAAGGATGTCAAAAAGTCGGTCGATAATGCGAATAAATGTCACTGTCCCATTACTGCCAGAGAAATTTGGTTGTTTAGCGGATTTGTCTAAAAACTCAATAGCATTTGCCACAGAGGAGCTCAATGTTTGTGCAGCAAGTCGCACATTCATTTTGTGTTTGTGAAAGTTAAGGTGATTACTCGTAAGTTTGTTTGTTAGGTTTAATCCTTCTTCCATTTGTAGGTTTTGAAGTTGTTCTATGTAACTCCACTTTATAATGTTTTCCTTGCCATCCTTAAAAGAACCAAGTTGGGCCAGTGCATTGCGTGCAAGCTTTAACATATGGCAAGGGTCAAGAATTACAAACACATCTTCGCCAGTAGTTGGATGGGTAAATGAAGACCGCATTTCATCATATGTACCGTTAAAGTTGCAACCAAGACTTTCAAATGTATGAAGATTTACAGCAGTACCATCAGCTGTTACAGACCATACCTTTAAACCTGCCTTTGATGCCTTTTCAAGACATTGTATTACCAATGATGCTTGGTCTTTACCATTGATTTTGTCAACCAAAAGTACCCAACGGGCATTTCCAATGACTTCTGGTGCCAACTAATAAAAATACTAGTGCCTCAGAAGCCAATTTCTCTGTTTTATGATTAGGAGTGTATCTCCAAGATTAACAAACCCTGAATACTGGTCATCTTCTGGATTCCATATTGTTTGTTTTCAGATTGACATTGCATCAATAACCAAACAGCAGTCTCTGGAATTTGGGGAAGCAGCAACTTCATTTGATAGTGATTGGAATGCATCTTTAATGAAACCAGGGTCACATTTCATGGACGAGACCATTTTTCATCAAAGATGGATTGGGTAGTGGAACAATGGATCGAACATATTTATAAGCTTTTGGAGAATAAAAATATAAAGTAAGTGCAAATTCTTTGATTTCATCAGAGTATCTTCTGCCTGAACGAGGACATTTTAAATTATCTCTAATATTGTATAAAAATCCCAACTGAGTATCATTGAAAGTGGACAAAAGACTTTCTGCCTCTTTTGAATTGATCACCAACTTATCTTTTAAAATCTTGACAACTTCACCCATGGTTTCAACCTTTTGTTTTGTGCGTCTCAGTTGTTGTTGCAAGTTTCAATTTTTGTTGAAGCTTATTTTTAAACAAATCTCTTTTTCTTCTGTAGATGTTTTGGAGATTTTTTGGGTGGAGAAGTTTCATCAACGGAATCAGAGGTAGCTGCAAAAGGTCTTTTATTTGAAAGCTCGAGTCTATTCAGCAGTGCTTTGAGTGGGTTGTAGAAGTTGAAACATTTTGAACATGCAAGCTATTGGACATGGATGGTATGGCATACTTTTTTAGTCGGCATTTGCCATTTTGTGAGGGGGGGACAATGTAGTCAGTTAGTTGAAAATGGTCACTGCATATACGATGTGCACTTTTTGCTGTCCATGGTACTTCAAGATGGTTTACTTGTTGAACAAAATGCTCCCATAATTTTATGGCTGCCTTGTTTTTCATGGGAAATCTGTAATACATATAAATATTCATGATCTAGTATTTTAAATATTATACTTCCAGTAATTTCACTACAAATCCTTGTCCAGTTAAATAAAGTTGTAAGCCCTGTACTAACAATATGATACCAGTTATATCTACTTTACACTTTTACTGTGAAAAGTATTATTTTATTGCAATTGTGACCAGCTAAACAAATAAATACTGTATATGACTAAACTGTCAAAATATAGAATTTATATATGTTAGTATTTAACTGAATTTTATTAAAATTTCATTTTTGTAGTTGAAGCATGTTTAATCTTTCCAAATTGCAGTTTTGTTTGATGTCATTTTTTCAACTTATGTATTGGAATTTTACCTGTGAAAAGCAACAGTTTCTGCACCTATGTGGTGAGAAATAGCCCTGTTCCTGCACCCAATTATCACACATGTAAGTGGCATGTTTACTGAACAATCCTGAATACTTATCTTTGTCCTAAAGACGACAATTATGCAGTGAAAATAACTTTTGTTTGCAAAATCAAGGAAATATACGCTCTAACGTTAAAAAGGACTGGGGTGAGAAGAAGCTATACTTGTTTTTCTTCGTAAATATTACTTTAAAACATAATTTTGCTAACGTTCTGTTATGTTAATGTCATTATTGGTTTAACGTTTTTTAAGAAATTTTTAAAACAATACCATGCAAATTTGCAAGATGTCAAAATCGCATTTGTCGAGGCTTGTTAAGTTTGTTTTTTTTTTCAAAAAAGGCACGATTGCTTGATTGATCTATTACCGTAATCAAACTTACTATAAATGACCTGGAAAATTTACATTTTTTGCAATTTACTTCCAGTTTTTTTTAGTTTTGCAAAATCCGCTGTCAAAATGACTAAAACACTGACATATTTTGTTTTGGTCGTGTTTATCACAAGCGTGGAAAGACTGGGAACGATACTGTCGACTTAGGCTTCAAATTTCCGGGCGAAGGTAGCCTTCCAGTTATATTTAGTTCAATGTTTAGAACTGAGATTTTTAGCACCATGGAAACGTGACGTCACCACTTAAGGACTCTATTAAAACATTATTTGGGGTTAAAAAAGAAAAGCGGAAAATTTAACATGGGATACCAAGAATAAGAATTTGGGATGATATATTCTACAAAGTATTGCCAATGTACTGTTTGCTAATTAATACTTAAACAGTTAAACTTAATACAACCAGCAGTAAAAAGATAATGTGCGATTTACAACTTTATGCAGACCTAAACGTTTAAAACAATAATAGCTCGCAAAGTCGCCATTTTAATTCGGCTCGTGATGCACGAAGCCTTATTTTTTATTTTCTTGTATCAACTGAATTTATCATTTCCTTTCAACGATTGATAATTGTCTTCGTTATTCATTTTTGACAAATTTAGTTCTTGATAAGTTTTATCAACTGTTTCATCTTTTGGCCTCAGCGATTGATAATTATCTTCTCTCTCCATTTTTGATAAATCCAATTCTTGATAAGTTGAATCAACTGTGTTTAATCTACCTTCAGCATTGGTCGACAGCTGCTTTCGTTTCTTACTCACCCACCGTTGACGATATCGTAAAAAGAACAAGGATGTAATAAAAGTGCCGAAAATAATTCCAGAAATCAAGGTTACCAATATAATGTACCATTTCGTTTTTGTCTCTGTTATTTTACATGTTTTACAGTTATCAAAGGTTCTTGAAGTAGAAGTTAAGTTACCTAAAAGAAAAAGAAGCTTTTTAGAATGACTATAAAGCCAGTTGAGAAGAGGATGACTATAATGTAAAGAGTATAATATGCATAAACATAGCCTCAACGTTTAAATAGGACGAAAAATAGGGAGAATTTAAATGAGGAGGAATAAAAAGTTTAGAATAAACTGCACGTGTCCAGTCAACCATTAACTCGTGGGAGTACCTAGAAAATTATAACTTCTTTTCTTAAAGATACCTTTGAGATTGTTGTGAATAGAAGTTGACGTTGAAGTAAAAAATGGCCTTGATCGACTGATGGAGCTAGATAACTCCAATACTACACAAAAAAAACACGAATCATTAGCTTCGTCTTACTTTATACTTAATTTAATTTCTGTTAAGAAATAAAAGATGTTTACTGTGTTTGCACAGGCTTATGCAAAACGAGGAGACCTTTGGGAGAACTCGAGAGCAGACCAGTGCAAGGTTTTTGAATGCATTTTCGATAATATTATAAAATTGTTTACACTAAGCTTATCCGAGATGTGCTTTTTGCTTAATGTTCAATCAAATGACTCAAGAACTGTCTAACCTTTTTTAATTTACGTCACGCCCTTGCTTACATTTTACATCACGTGACTGTGGTCACATCTGGTCACATCCCGAAATAACAGGTAAAATTTTTGAGAAATTTAGAAGGCTTCTCTTTCCCAGATGTGACCACAGTCACGTGCTATAAAATCTAAGCAAGGGCGTGACGTAAATTAAAAAGGGTTAGACAGTTCTTGACTCTTTTGATCGAACATTAAGCAAAAAGCACATCTCGGATAAGCTTAGTGTAAGCAATTTTATAATATTATTGAAAATGCATTCATTAAATATTTATCTACTTCATTTTATAACCATAGTAAACAGCTGGGCTACCCACATGTACGCTTTGCGTTCTATTTTTATTTCTATTTCTATTTCACACCCATACATGTATAATCTTTATGAGGATAAATCTCTGCTCTTACTTTCTTAGCAAATTTTACCTTTGATGATAGTAAGATTTTTAACATCAGATAAATTATTTCCCAGTTTATTTTTTGCTTCACAACGATATGAACCAGCGTTATTGAAGTTGACAGATTGAATGATGTATTTCTTATTATTACTGATAACTGCACCATTATGATAAATAATGAAAGTAGGCAAAGGAAAACCATCTGATTCACAGGTTATATTCATACTTTCACCAATTTTTGCATTTATTTTTGATAGGGTTATGGTCGTAGTTCTTGGTTGATCTAAAATTTAAAATTCAAAATTCTACGTATTTGACAATTTGAAAACCTTATTGCAAAAAGTACTAAATATATAAGTTCCCAACTTACAATTTACTTTTATTTCAATGGATTTTTCATTAATAAAACGTGGATTATTAAAACTTTCAGCTTTACATCTGTAACTTCCACGATCATTTGGTGAGGCACCAGGGATTACTAATGTCTTACTTACAACTCCAACATCACCAATTATGTTATTATCTTTATCAAACCATGTGATATTAGCAGGAGGGATACCTCCTTCACCTCTACATACACATGACACATTATCACTTTCATTCACAAACAGAGGAGATGAACAGTCAATCGACACTATTGGTTTAACTGAAATTAAAGACAAAATGATATTAATAATCATGATAGAAACAATATATAAGCGTCAGTGAGGTAGGGGTAAAAACCGGAAGAGGAATGTTGGATTTATAAAGAATAAAATTTATTGTTGTATGTACTGTGTATGTCAAATTTGATTGGTTCATGGGTAGTCACATGACTTAAAATAAACGCAATGTTTCCCGTCAGGGAAACAAGTGAAAACTTGTTGCGTGCTGATTTTAATATCATAAAACAATAAAACAGCTATGGAGCCGAAAACTAAAAATACAAGTCTCAAGTTTATTAAGCAACGAAATTCAACTAGTAAGAGAAAAAAAAGATTCAGAAAACCCTTAAAAGTGCTCCAAAAATGCTGTGGTCACCCTTATAGCATTTTGCAACGAAATCTCGACAGACAAGTCTCCATCAAAAGAGACGTTGATTTCATTGAAAAGCTGTGAAAATCTATGAATTTTGTTCCTATATATAACAAAACACTTAATGTATACTTCCGTAAGAAATACTGAGCTTTGTTTTCCCTCGAATGGCATGCAATGTATTGAGACTCTTGGAAAACTAAACTCACTATTTTCCTTGGGAGCATACAATAAGTGTATAATATTTCAAAGTCATGATACTTTACCACACGTCAATAATAACAAAGTTGAAGACGAAGTTTTTAAACATCTATAGTAACAAGATGATAAAATATATCTGCAAAACTTACATTTTACTTGTATTTCAATGGATTTTTGATCTCTGAAACCTGGATTATCATAACTTTGTGCTTTACATCTGTAACTTCCATTATCTTTCACTTCAATATCAGGGATTACTAAAGTCGCACTTAAACGTTCAAATTCACGAACTGTTGCGTTATCTTTATCAAACCATGTAACATTAGCAGGAGGGTTACCTCCTTCACCTCTACATACACATGACACATTATCACCTTTACTCACAACCAGAGGAGTTGAACAATTAATCCCCACTGTAGGTTTTTCTGAAAACAAAAGCAAATGCTGAAACAATCTTCTCCTTAACATAATGAAAAAATAAAGTCTAAGGAATTTTTCTGAAATTGCAAGGCTTTAATAAACTTCCAACTAATAGCTGAAAATAGCAAATATTTCTTTCACAATTAATGCAACGCAATAAGAAGTCCTACGTTTTTATTGCCAATTTTGTGGTAAGAATTGCGCTGACGCATGCTGTTTAGATTGCCATCAGATGAGTTCAAGGAAAGTGATCATAACTTCTTGAAAAGGACATTTCTTTCGAATAGATTTCATAAGAAATTATTAAGCAATATTATTTATCTACTAACGATGAAAAGAGAATGAAGCTCTTTCGTGCGATGACGTCAAAGCGGCCAAGTTGGTAGGCAACTTCAAAGGGCCTACGCTCAACACAACATAAAATCAATACAGATTCTTCTACCTATAGGAGATTTTCTACCAACATGGCGAACAGCGAAAACATTCCATAACCAAGAATTTGTTTTTCGCAAGCAACGTCATCTTTATAGTTTGGAAGGAAACCATTCTGCCACACAACCCCAACCCTTCTGGGCATTCTCTGTAGCAGCATTTGCAACTGAATCTGAATTCAGGTCTTGAGTATTATCATCATTCAGGTTATCGAGATCGGTGGTTCTTCCAGTGTCTTTCGTATGTACCTACGATTTCTTCTGTGTTCAGTTTCGTAATCATTTTTACCATTTAGCTTCTGGGTGTTTGATGCTTTCGTATCATCGTTTCGCGAATCCATGGTCATACCGAGTCTTGGCGAAATCTCAATCATTCACTTTTTTCCAGTTATTGCGAAGCCTTGGCAGTGCAGTTATTAACGATCAGTGTGAAATGTAGCTTGGTCGATAGGTTTGGGATACAGCTTACATTGTAAAGTAGGAATGGTTGATCAAAGCGGCTTGCGCAGGGCTCACACCGTCAATGGGGGTGTTACGATAGTCCGATATATTCTTGTCGGTCTTGTCCATTCGCTTTGCATTTCTTTAGAATGTTTTTGAATGTCTGAACTGTTTATCAGACGTAATCCACCTGAGTGTGGATAACTCGGACTTATGGTCTAACGCAAACTGTTTACATTCTTCCGATGAGTAATGAGGCTGATTATAGGATACTATCGTTTCCAGAATTCCATGTCGACTAAATATGGACCTCGTCTTGTTGACAAAGGTTTTGGTTTGGTGTTTCTTAATTGCGAATGGATTACGAGGTCATCGTGATGATACTCAATTTCACTCAGAGGTTGGTTGCTATTCAGTTAAAAACAATGTTGGTAATTTTCTTAAATCTTAAAATTTTAGAGTTAGAACTGGTAATCAAATTTTCGAAAATCATTTGTTCGAATGTGGCAAGCATCAAAGAATAATGCCAAGACAAGCCCAAAAAATCATCAATTGTATTGATCAGGTAATATCGACGGAGTTAAAAATAGATATTATTCTATCATTGAAGATGAAGCTGCGAATCTTCTCACAAACAACAGTTGCCCTTTGTTCTACGATTTGCTGAATCTTTAACTAATGCAATTTATACACTCACTGTTATAGTCATCGACTAAATTCATTTGTCTGTAACACTCTTTCTAACGTTGAAATTAATAACATGTTATCTGTTGTTTGTCAAGCTGCCAATTTTATCAACATATTACAGACACGCCACATGCCCCTTGCTGAGCACGTGAAAAAGTCAGATGTTCAGACCGAGAAGGCAAAACTGGTAAGTCTTTGTAATACCAGATGGGTTGAGCGAGTTTACATTCTTAAAACGTGCGAACGTCCATCCCTTTAATCGACACTCTTCAGAACATGATAAACAATGTAAGCGACGAGGTGAAGCCTTCCCTTGCTGCTGATGCTTCTCACTTACTTTTATTAGTCACTCAATTTCATTTTATTGTTGCGCTAGTTTTTACCAGAAAGATCCTGGATGCTACTCTTCCAGTACGCATTTGTTGCATGGAAAAACTATTGATGTTATGAATGGTTTTCATTTGATGAACACTTTGAAGAATGATGTAGTCAACATGAAGGGCATTGATTATTATCATTGATTTTTAACAACGGCGATTTCGCTCACTTTGTAACCCTGCAAAAATTGACAGTTAAGGTATTCCAAAATGCTTGAAATCGCATTTCTAGCACCTTATGTTTCAAAATTTCCCAAGGGAGGATGTCCGGCGTCCACTGTTTTATGGCTGACGTTTGAAAAATTCTAGAACCGCCTCTGGTAGCTAATATACACTTTAACCCATGATTTCGTAATCAACCAATAAAATGAGCCATACGACGCATGCACATGGTTTGAATTTCTTAGTCCCCTAACGTTGCAATCACTGGTCTAATTATTTTTCTACGTTTCTAACTAAATAGATGTATTTCATTTTTTATAACTAAATAGATGTATTTCATTTTTATATAACTAAATAGATGTATTTCATTTTTTATAACTAAATAGATGTATTTCATTATTTTTCTACGTTTCTAACTAAATAGATGTATTTCATTTTTTTATAACTAAATAGATGTATTTCATTTTTTATAACTAAATAGATGTATTTCATTATTTTTCTACGTTTCTAACTAAATAGATGTATTGCTTTCATTAATTTTCAAATGAAAAATATAAATTTCTAAAACTGATAAATATATAAAATAATAAAAAAAGGACGACTTACTTGCAACGAAAACTCTGACTTTAGATATAAAAGATGACGCACCGCCCCTTCTTGTTAATTCAAACTCATATGTTCCATCATAACTGTAAGTGATATTTCTTAATCGCAGCGTTGAAGGTTTGTAGACGTCATACTTTGGAAGAATTGGTTCTTTAAGATTTAACACTGACAAATCCAGAATGACAGTGGCCAACAGTGTTTTTGGTGAACCATTACTACTACCCTTAAAACGCCAATTTCTACTGGCCACAGCATTTAAACTAACATTAAATGTCCAGGTTATATTTTCTATTTCTCCAGGTAGAAATGTAAAATTTGTGCCAGAGGGAGGTGATAGAATATTTCCTATGATAAGAAATGAAAGATAAATGAATAAAAATAGGTACAAAGTGCGTACATATGGTTTTGAAATAATTTAAATGTTTATTCAACGTACATAAAAATATACGAGAATTTATAAGAAACTTTACGAAAACATCTTTAGTGAAGTCCCAAAGTTATTTCATTTCGTATTAACGAAAATAAGCAACATCCTCAAGAAATCTCTCCAATTTTAACGATAAATTCATTACTATTTTAAATGCAAACCATTTTTGAGATAATTACTATTTCTAACAATTGTCTTTCAAACGTTTACTGAAAAATCAGATAGCATTGAAAATTATACAACTGTATTAAGCCTGTGTAGTTTTGTTTTTACTCTTGTCTTCATAACATTTTGATAGGACTTAATTGCCAACGATTTGTTCCGATTGAGATTAATTTTAAACTTATGTTTAATCTTTGAACGCAGAAGGATCGCAAATAGGATGAGATAGCAAATATTTCATATTCGAAAACAGAAATGTCAAATAAATAGACTTTAATTATCATAAAGTGCGGATTGTCACATGATTCTGCGTATTTTATGGCCATTACGTTTTGTGCTCAACATCAAGGATTGGCCTTACTGTCTAACAAAAACAAAACCTCCATTCTTTGCTGGTGACTGAATAATTTATCTAAAGACTGCTATAAATTCTAATTAGAAAACCTTTAGAAAACTAGGGGTTTCACTTGATCAAAACTTGTCTAGGAAATGTAACACTGATAATATTTGCAAAAAAGTCACATAAGAGATTTCTCTCAAAGGCTTATGTTAATACACTTATATCCGTACACAATGCAAAAGTTCGTCTTCACTTCGATAATTGTTGCAAATTATGAGCTACGACTAGTGTTAATAAAAAAAGTGAATAGAACTTTAAGAAATTGAATAAACTAACTGCCTCACGAGGACACATTAGCTGAAATTTCAATAATTTTTT